AGTTAAATGATTTGACAATCTAAACAGTTCCAAACTGGAGGCACCTGGGTGGCTCAGTAGGTTGGGCCTCTGCCTTCAGCTCAGGTCATGATCCCAGGGTCCTGGGGTCAAGCCTTGCATTAGGCTCTCTGCTCGGCAAGGAGCCTGCTTCCCCCCACCCTACCTCTGCCTGCCTCTCTGCCTGCTTGTGATCTCTCTGTCAAATAAATAAAATCTGTAAAAAAATTTGTAAAAGCAATAAATAAAATCTGTAAAAAAAAAAATTTCCAAACTGTCCGTTAAAGATGAGCTCTTCCAAGGTTAGGCACAAAAGAGTCCCTTACATTGTCTTATGGCCACTGCAAGTAATTACGGCACTTATCACTACGCTATTTTTTTATTTGAGATTTTTATTATTTATTTATTTGACAGAGATCACAAGTAGGCAGAGAGGCAGGGAGAGAGAGAGGGGGAAGCAGGCTCCCCGCTGAGCAGAGAGCCTGATGCCGGGCTAGATCCCAGGATCCTGGGATCATGACCCGAGCCGAAGGCAGAGGCTTTAACCCACTGAGCCACCCAGGCGCCCCACCACTAAGCTATTTTTAAGTAATTTCAGACTTATAAAAATTGACAGAAACAATTCCTTTATACCCTTCACCCAAATGTTAACAACTTACCACATCGGCTTTATCATTCATATACTATTTTCTGAGGGTTTAAGATGCAAGCATGATGCCCCTTTACCTCTAAGTACTTCCATGTGTCACCACTGTATTTTAATCAGCTCGTCACATATCTGTCACTAAATGATGTCCCCCCAAAAAACCCCAAACCCTGTTTTATTAATTCATCTTGGGCTACTAACATCCAGTAGGAGAGCAATCACAGGCGACAGAAAGGTCACCCCAAAATAAGTGATGCATTACATACCATGCTTTGTTTCAAGCCAAAGGAAAGAGATCACAGACATCTCTTGAGTGTCCATCCTGAGCACAACATTCTGTACTGGGTAGTTCAACAAAAATAATAAGCCACAAGTTTGGCTACCTATGATGTCAAGAACCCAAACTGAGCTGAGATTCTGTTTGTGATCACGACTTTAACAATCTACACATTCTTGCTGCAAGGAGCTAGCTCAGCCTCTACTCTGCTTCCTATCTCACCACAGATGACTTTGCTCCATGTAAATTATTAAACAGAAAAGCTTTAACCCCTTAATGAAAAGGGTTTTAGAAGAACCACAAGAGGTAATCACAGTTCCTTGGAGGTACTCAAACGTTTACTGATGCCAAGCTGTCATGTTTAACTACTTCTACAATTCAGAAACTAGCAGCAGTTACAAGCTAGAACTACATGCTATTGCTAATGTTTGACATTTTTAAAATACTGCTTTAGAATTTAATTCTGGCTTTTCCTATCCAATTTTAATGTATAAATTCCTATTCTTTTAAAGATTTTTTTACTTATTTGACAGAAAGAGAACATGTTGGGGGAAGGGGCAGAAGGAGAAGCAGACTCCCCTCTGAGCAGGGTGCCTGATGTGGGGATGTGGGGAGGGATGTGGGGCTCAATCCCAGGACCCTGGGATCATGACCTGAGTGGAAGGAAGATGCCCAACAAACTGAGCCACCCAGTTGCCCCAATGTATAAATTCCTATTAAGACTAGGAGGGTACTACACAGTTTTTTAAGTACTCAACGACCACGTGTGGCTAGTGGCTACCATATTGGACAGTGCAAATAGAGAACACGTCCATTGCCACCGTAAGTTCTACTAGACAGCCTTGCTGAACCATTAGTTCTGTATCCCCTTGTAAAAAGCTCTGCGCCTGACATGGGCCCTGCGCCTGACATCCACGTCATTCACTAAACCACTGCTTCTCAAACTTTAACGTGCACATGAACCACCTGGGATCTCGTCAAAGTGGCGATGCCTATTTTGTAGGTCAGGGGTGGGGCTTGAGATTAGGCGTTTCTAACCAACTCCCAGATGATGCCAATTTTGCTGGTACACTGACTATGCTACCTTCCTCCCTTCCATTCTACCAATCATTCTACCCCTGCATCAGATTTTCTGTAGTGCACAGCCTACAGCTCTTTTCTCCTTCCTAGCCCCTGCTGCATCCGGGGTGACTTCAACAACCTATGGGGACAATCCTAGCAAGTTCCTTGACCTTCAGTGGTGTTCTCCATCAACTACCCAATTCTGATAATCACATCCAGACACCTTCACAATCACCTAAAAATGGTTCTAACCTCTGAAATCACTATAAATCACACACACTTTGGGACCACAAAATGATTGCTTTCCCGAGTACTTTCATTCTCATTGACCTTCAACCTTATCAGGAAACCCAATCTATTAACTCCTTCCTATTTCCTTTTTTCCTGCCTTTACTTCCCTCAGATTTTTGCCTTGCAGATATCCTAAACTCCCTTTTACCATTACTTCTTTGTTGAACCCACTTGGCAAAATCCCAGTTCTGATCTAACCAACTAATCCCTCTCTCTGTACCACACAAAGGATCCTGAAGTGTTGAAGGAAGTCACACAACCTGAGGGTATCACTATGTCAATTAATGGTTAACAACCTTAACTGAGCCCTCTATCCACTCTGGAAACCTTACATTTCTCTAGGCAAACTTCCTCTCCCAGTCTTCACAACTATTCTTTCAAACTTTTTCCTCCCGCCTTTAATTTCCAACCCTCAGGCCTCACCCTACATTCTCCCTCACAGAGAAAACAGACCAGTTAGGAACCATCCCCCCTCTTCCCTCTCTCCTATTACAATGGAAATGTTCTCTTATCACAGGACAATCCTTCTGTTCAAGCACTGAGTCTCCCTCCTTCCCAGACCTTCAATCTCTTCTCGCCTATCACAGCCTCTCTCATAAGCATTTACATATCAACTAATCCGCTACCCTCCAAAAAAAAAAGGCCAACTAAGTGAAAGAAGCTAACCTGAAAAGGCTACGTAGGGTATGACTCCCACTATATGACATTCTGGAAAAGGCAAAACTGTGGAGACAGTAAAGAGAGTCTCAAATTTAGTATTTCAAAACACAGTTCATATTACATCAAACTCATATGAACAGACTGAATTACAGAGGATTTATCATTTTAAGTATTAGCAAACTAGATTACTGAGCTGACGGCAAATGACGGAGAGACACTGCCACAGGTATCAATTCCTCTCTGCTGCACAAACTACCATCCTGAAACACAATCCTAGAAACCCCAACCATAAATTATAATCATAAAGTAGATTTCCTATTAGAGCTCCTGTTTTCCTACTAGAACAATGGTTTCCTAGTAGAACAATGAAATACCTGGAAATTCTGTTTCTAACAAAGCCCTCAAGATCAAGTAAATTAAAGCTACATAAAAGTGATAAAAGCCAAAAGTCAATAAATACAAACTCTGAAATGTCTTTAAATTGTAAAATTATGCTTCAAGTTCTACAATGTGAATGTGAACACATTGTGCTTACATCAATATGGCATGAGGTCCCAGAGTGCTACGAAAGTATACACTGAACCCCAAATTCAAAACAATTGTATCATGAATTTGAATTGTAGGAACCTGCCAGTTACATTAAAAAACAGTCATCTTGAAAAGTATTAATTTAGATCTTTCTCGTTAAGTTTCTGAAAGCAAAAAGGTGGTCAAAATTCTTTTACTTTACGCAGCCTGCAGTGACTTTTCCCTACCACTAGATGGTACTATCAGCTTCAGAAAGCTAGAGAATAGAAGGGAAGCCGGCTCCACTAAACATGGTTGCCTCACTCAACTCTCCTGCCCCAGAGCAGCCTATACTTGGGTTCCTCAGAGCCTTAACTCTTAACCCTTGCTTTACCATACACATCTGGTCACCACAGTCTTAAAGAGAATCAAACACATTGTTAAAATCTAAAGTAATGAAAGGTGGGCAAGCTTCCTCTTAACCTTTGAACAAGGTCTTCTACTGAATTCTAGAACTGAACCAGGAAAAAAAAACCCAAAGCAAACAGTGTAAAGGTTTCTCAGTAGTACTTTATCACCTCTAAAATGTTCTGTTCTTACTATTTATCCAATCTGTTTACCTTAAAGACAAGTTTTTTTTACGTCTACACTACACTAAGTACTGGAACTAATCTAGAGTCCCAAAATGGAGGATATAGCCACGATCTAAGATACCAAAGAGGGTGACAAACTCTTAATAGGCTAATACAGATAATTAGGTAAACCCTAATGCGGGAAACCACTTCCTAAATCGACAGGTTCAAACCATTCTAATTCTAAGCAACATGTTCTCAGAGGCTACCAAAAACCAAGTATCTCTAATTTAACTGGAAGGATAGAACAATCTCAGATTAAAACTAAGCCTTTCTATATAGCTAGTGAAAGTATCAAAACCGTATGTTTGCAAAGGCATGAACCAAGTCAAGAGTTCAATTTGAGAACTTTCCATCCCTTTCAAAGACCAAGGACAACTTGGCTAACTATAAACACCCCAATGTTGTTTTATATAAATTTAAGGAGAAATAAACTATAAAGTAATTTTAAAAGTTAACATACTTTAAGATTGATCGCTTCTTATGAACATATTTTCAAAAAAAGTACAATGTGTACAATTGTACAGAAGTACAAAAAGTACAAAAAAGTAAATGTTAAAAATTTAACAGGAAGGCTGGTAATCACAAAATGTACCAGTAACTCTAGCTCATCTGACAGTAGTTAAGGATCCCAATTATTACCTTTACAATCTACTAACACTTACATGAACACAGAAATCCAAAATCACTAGCATCCTTTTTTTTCCTAAAGAGAAAATATATCTCAACGTACTCCTTACCAGAACTTCAGGGGTAAATATTTTCTCAAAAATCCAGATCTCTTTCACTATGCACATTGTTTATCCTAACACTTTTCTTAATTCTTTGAAATATATTCACTATTGAGATACACCTTATGGTAAAAATTAGTATAGTTAGAATTCACTCAAATCTCTTCCTGATGTTGAAAAGTGGCTGCACAACGTACCTTCAGCATTATGTGCAGTTTTCTTGTGTTTCCGGCAATAAACCCTATAAACAAACAAACAAACAAACGAGGAAGTCAAAAATTACCAAGCCGACAAACTAAACTCTTTTTCAGATTAAAAAAATGAGCAGTCCACTTCACCCCATTCACAAGCTGAATTCCAAAAATCTTATTAAACGTCTTATGCCATGGGTCTAACCATTCAATTCCTTACCAGAAACACCCTTTACAATGATGATGAAATGCTTTGAAATGGGAAAAACTTTTACAAAAGCCTAAAGAAAGTATGACTGCTAAAAAAAAAAAAAAACTGAAAGAGAAGTTAAATAATTACATGTAAATTCCTTGTGAAGGTTTCTCCCGTATTTGAGCTTTATCATGCAGCGCACAGTGGTAGTGGTACGTCCTGTGACATGTTTTCACATCACAACCAATTGTGGCTCCAGGACAATGGCACAAAGAGCACATCTACAGCAAAACAATAAAATAATGATTATTAGTGTGCGATTCTGCTAAGGCCATGATGGCAGGTTAGAGGCATATCAATCTCTGTCAAGGAAAACAAACTGGTTATTAAAAAGTTTTGTAACTAATAATGCGATTTTTCTTGTTTTCTTGCCTAGAAATAATCTGAATAAAATTCTACTAGGGGTACTTTCTCCCCCAAGATTGAATGCTGACAAAATGAATGGAATATTATTAATGTCTACTGTTTCACTGTAGTCAAGAGAAAATTTGAAATGTTGCGAATCAGGACTGTAAGCTGTATGTCACTTAGACCTTTTCACAATCCAGATTTTCCTGGAAATGGGTAACTGTGGAAAATGTCTCATACCAGAAAAAAATTTTTCCTTCACATTTCTCCTTAATGAAAATCTTTGGGGGGGGGAACCCTCACATATTATTGGGGAACTTGGTAAAATCAATTTCAAGCGAGCGAAGGATAAAAAATTAAGTAGATATTTAAATATCTCAAGCTCTAAAAATATTTTGTGATGTCAAATTGATTGTGAAAATACACTCATCTATTTTAATTTAATCTATGTTACTTACCTCTTGTGTTATGAATTCAGGCAGATAGAAGAACAGACTCTTTAAACATATTTTAATGTAATTTACCTTTTGACATTATTAGATAATTCCTATTGTTTAACTAGCTCATGCTCTCAATTTACGAAAAAGCTCTTTAAAAAAAAGCACATAATAATGACTGTTAGTGGTTTTGATTAACGTATCATCGTACACGGTACTGAGTGGACTTTTAATGAGCTATTCTCCTGAGCTATAAATGCCATGCCAAAATAAATTCACTGTAAGGCAAATCTTAAAAACTGTTTCTTGGTTGCTAGATACCTCATTCGGAACTGTTCTCATTCCTCTATTAATTTTAATATAAAGAACACTTACCACCCTAACTTGTGGATTACTTGGCCCCTAAGCAATTTGGGTATACTGGGAAGCTAATATAAATTCCAATAAAATTCCTTACACTTCTCTAAGCAAGTCAAACACTCAACCTCTCATTCAAACTGTCATTTAAGAAATACTCCTGTCTGAGTCAGAAACATTCTCAATACAGGTACATTCCAGAAAACATGAGGGCTAGTGCCCATTATTAACATTAGAGAAACACTCCCATTTCCTTAAATACAGAAACTTCAGAGTATTACTGTAAAAAGAAATACTGTGCCAAATTATCAAGCAGGAAAAGATGTTAAACACTTTTGGGGAGCTTATAAAGTTTTGAGAAGGTGCAGCATTTGTACTACAGCTTAATTATGAAGTTTTATCATTTTAGCAAATTATATTTTTCATCAAAAAACACACATTACAGACATTTTGGAAAACACGAGGGCAAAAGAAAATTAAAACAAACAAACAAACAAACAAACAACAACAAACTCCTGCTTACCAGAGATGCACTTATGGTATGTTACAATGTTTACATGCAACTATGTGTCTATGTAATTCTGTACATACTATTTTACAACCTCTTTTTTTTATCTAACCAGGTTGAACATTACTCCACCTCATTAAGAACTCTACTGTAAATAGTTCATCTTGAAATTTCATCAAAAATGGGTTTGCACAGGTACATTTTGAAGAAACGATTTTGAATTCAATTAGCGAGCAAAAATGAAAGGAGGGGAGGGACTGTTAAAAATACTGTACTTGGCTCGACGCTGGCAAAAATACAGTGACACAGGCACTCTCATATCCTGCTGGGAATCACTACACTCTGCATAGCAGCTTTTGCCATATTTATCAAAAAGCTTTTAAAAAGTTCTTATTTCCTGATCCACTAACTTTACTTCTATTAATCTTGTCTAAAAAAATTAGATTCAAATGATTTATATACGTATCATCTTCACTGCAGAATTATTTGCAATAGTCCAAAATGTAAAACCACTCACGGAAAACAACTGAAAAATCTTTGAATTATAGCACACCCATAGGTAGAAGTCTATAGACATGCTCCAAAGAAAACTTAAGGGCATGGGGAAATGTTTATGTATGAAGAATAAAGCAAGCTACAAAACTCTGTTAATTATGATCACAGTTGGGTTTATAATAAATTCTTTGGGGGCACCTGGGTGCTCATTTGTTAGGCGTCTGCCTTTGGCTCAGGTCATGATCCCAGGGTCCTGGGATTGAGCCCCGCATCAGGCTCCCTGCTCAGCGCAAGCCTGCTTCCCCCTCTCCCACTCTCCCTGCTAGTGTTCCCTCTCTCGCTGGGTCTCTCTCTATCAAATAAATAAATAAAAATCTTTTAAAAAAATTTTTAAAAACCCACAAATTCTTTGAAAATGGGAGGAAGCAAATATAGCAAAATGCTGAGGGACTGTCACTAGGTGGCTGGTTTTCTTTACAATTTCCTGTATTTTCTGATGTTTTTTCCTACAATGGGCAAAAATACTTTCACATGTAAAAAATTATTCTTGGGAGAATACACTAGCCAATGCTTTTAATACCCATCTGTCAGTTTGTTGAGAATAAGAAGGAAACCAAATGTCCAAAATATATCAAAATTTGTCTTTGCTGGTTCTCAGTTTAAATCTGCCCAAAGTGCTGGTTCTCAGTTTAAATCTGCCCAAAGTATCACGAGTTAACTACAGTAATTTAGGACAGATACAATTTCTAAGTGAGAAGAAGCTCATTCTCACTTTTGTCAGTTCCTCAAGGAAGAAAGGAAGATGTTCCATTAAAAATGGTTTCCAAGAGTGGAAAATTCTCTTTAAGGTTAGCAGTAGGAATTTTTCTCAATTAGAATTTACTGGATCTATTTTAAGCAGCATTCATATAAAAGCTGAAACACCCACTTGTATATGAAATTCTGGCAAGATGCTAACCAAATAGCAAAAAGTACCCATAAGAAAACAAAATATACAATTTAAACATCGTTGTGTGCCTATGAACACAAAATGGAGACACAACTGTTACCTTGAAGTGTACTACGCTATACATCCTAACCCCTAAATAATTCTTCTATCTCTAAACTCCTGTGGGACTTAAGATATAGTATTCATTTTTGGCTCTTACCATTTTACTTCCTTGTGTGGCTAATTATATTTGTAAATGTATAGATTTTATCCATCAATTGTTTCTAGACTGAGTTTTCTGGAACACTGCCACTGTGCTTTGCAAAGTAGTGCTCGGTAAATGTGTTGACTTTAAGCTTCCTGTTACTGAAGATTTTAGTATCTCCCAGCATATTTTTTCCCATATATGTTTCTAATACCTACAGATTTCACATAATAATCTTTAAACATGCCTACAAATTTAAACAGTCTGATCTAGAGTTTGGAAAGGTACAACTGAGAAGAAGAGTCCAGTAGAAGGGGCATAGAAGGCACAGAAGTGAGACTATTTGGGAGGCACAGATTAGCCCTGTAAGATACAAGGTTGAGAATCAAAAGAGAGAAAAAGAAAAATTAAAGAAGTCGGGAAACCAGATAGGTGTCTGGTACACCTAAAAAAAAATTATGGGAGATAAAACAAAGATGACTTCTCTTGAAAAAAGTAGAGTCACAGGAACATGGGGTCCCCAAAACGGCAAGGCAGCAGTGTGTTGGACCCAGGCAATGTCATCCCATATTTCTCTCTCTCTTTTTTAAAAGATTTTATTTATTTATTTGACAGAGAGAGAGAGAGATCACAAGTAGGCAGAGAGGCAGGCAGATAGAGGGGGGAAGCAGGCTCCCCGCTGAGCAGAGAGCCCCATGTGGGGCTCGATCCCAGGACCCTGGGATCATGACCTGAGCCGAAGGCAGAGGCTTTAACCCACTGAGCCACCCAGGTGCCCCTATATAAAACATTTGCCCTCAAATTTGTCATGGTCCCTACTGGGCTCCTAGCAGAAGGACTGTGAGCTGCCATTTAATATCAAATTTACACTACCCATGACTCTTGCAAATGTGGGAAAATGAAAGTTAACCTGACAGGAACATGGTGAACTAACTGTGGACCTCTTCCCCCTGCAAAAATGTCTGTCCCACACAGCAAATACTCAGTTGAGGGCTGATTTCCTGCCCCCAACAGAAGTATAAATGTCAACTGTCAGCTTATCCTGTTCATACCCTGATTTCAAGCTCTTTAAGTAGAGGTGAAAATTTGTTGATAATGATTTTTCTTTTATTTTTCCTCCTCTCTTCAGTTTGCTACCTAGTAGACCTAGTAAGCCTCAAAACTCGATCACCTCTTCTGAAATGGGGAGCCTGGGGGGCGGGGAGGCCCCATCCTACTGCAGATGTTTGCACGTCATCTTTACAGTATGGCCAGAAGCTATACTAACTTTAAATTTTTTTTGCTAAAAGTTATATATATATTCAGCATATATGGCACAATATTTTAAAAATTAGTGAAATGCAAGTTAGTACCCTTTAACCAACATGTCTGCACCCTCCCTGCCTGTGGTAAGCACTATTCTAAAACCTGTGAGGTTATCCGACGCTAACGTCAAGCTGTACCCAACAAGCTGAGTCTCAAGGGGCTGACCCACAGATTAAAGAGGAACTAAGTCACACCCGAGAGCCGACAACGGGAACCGAAAGGACGATGACTTAGCTGAAGTCCTGCGGGAGCCAGAGACCGGCATGTACCTGCTCCTCAGTCAGCTGAGCCAGGCCAGGGCTGAGATTCAGTCTGTAACGGAAGAAGTCCTACGGAATAAAAGGAGAAATACTGCTTTCTCCGTAGCTATGGGTAAACCGCAGGGAAAACTCAACCAAGGGCACAGAGAGACACAAAGTGAAACTAAAATGAGATTCCCAACTTCTAGGATAGGCAGAAAGGGGTGGCTTTTGGGGGGAAAAGCTAGAGTCTGATGGCTAGCCAGAGTCACGGGGAAGCGAGGGACAAAGGGCTTGCTAAGACAGCTGTGCCCAGCTTAACTGCTGCGTACAGACCATGTGTATCAGGGACTGATCACCACCGTATAGATATAAATCCTCATGGCCAAGCAGTTACTA